AGCAGGGGTAGAAAAAAAGAAATTGAATAGCAACCTTGAAATTGCATACTGTCAGAATCTCACCATGCCCTGAGAGTTCAGTGTTGGACTGGGAGTGGTTGGAGCCATGCTGGGACACTTTCCAGTGAGCAAGCACAAAAGTTGTGTAGGTGAAGTACAGTGAGGAATTCTGCTGGAGCACTGTTGCTGGGGAATGGATGGGGATTGGTTTTCACTTCAGGAAATAACCTATTGCATATACTTTGTCTTTCCAACACTCAGTTTAGATTTGTCAAATATTTTTGTGGCTTTATAGTCATGTAAAACTAATTACTAGTCATGCATGTGGCTACATGCATTAATAAAATATTTCTTTTCATTAAGGCTGTAAAAAAAATTCTGCCTTGATTTTTCCAGATTGCCCCTTTACAGTCAATAAAAATCTTCTTGAATGTTTAATACTGATTATTACAATAAAGACATTGTACTGTTGTCAAATTTAGGGCAAGGAAGGAAAGGAAGAAAATGGGATAGAACAAGGACATGCCAAACTAAAAAATAAGACACTGGGCTTTGAAATGTAGAAGGTGCAGGACTTAGCTGTAATGAAAAATGTAAACTGAGGTGCTTCAGGAACTACTCAACTATGGGGAAAAACTACTTTTGTCACTGTTGCTAATTATTTAAAATTCCTATGCTTCAGTAATCTCAATAGTACACATGGAGCCGAGTTTGTTGTGTCTATCTAGGCGTTTCCAGTCACAATATGTTGAGCAATGGCATGTAAAACATAAAGATTAGTCTCATTTCAATAATATGCTATCAAAATGGAGAATGCAGTAACAACAGTTACATTACTGTTTTCTTGCAAAACTTACTTTTTTTAGTCATATTTGATGTTCTTACTTAACTTTCAGATTCTTTTTTCATCTTTACAATAGCTTTTGGTCCACTTTTGTTTTATATATATATTTTAAATTATTGAATATTATTTATTGAGGCCCTTAAATTCAAGGTAGGAAAAAGTGATAACATTTTTTCTTTAGTTTTCCAAAACTCGTGCAATTTCATTTTTCTGGAACAATTACTACATATGCCATTGGTTCTTCTATTTTTCTGGGTTTGGAACCTAACTTCTTATTTCTAGGCTCTCTTCCTCATTCCAGGTAAGGTTGATAAAGCTTTGAAAGAAATTGATTTTCTCTATGCTGAACCCATTAATCCCAGCCAGCCACTCACTCACTACCCCAGCATCAGAATCATGGAGAGAATCAGAAGGGTCAAAGCTGGAAAACTTTGAGAAAAAGACATTTTAATAGGGAAAGCAAAATCCATGCACACAAGCAAAGCAAAACAAGGAATTAATCCAGTGCTTCCCATGGCTGGGCAGGTGTTCAGCCGTCCCAGGAGAGCAGGGCCCCATCACAGGTAATGGTGACTGGGGAAGACAAACTCCATCACTTCCAACATCCTCCCCTTGTTCCTTTTTACCCCCATTTTATACACTGATCCATGATGTCCCAGGGTCTGGGATATCCCTGTGGTCAGTTGGGGTCCCCTGTCCCAGCTCTGTCTCCTCCCAGGCACCCCCAGTCTCCTCATCAGTGTGGCTGTACAAAAAGCAGAAAAAGCCTTGGCTTTCATGTGTAAGCCCTGCTCAGCAATAACAAAAACATCTCTGTATTATCAGCCTTGTGTTCAGCACAAATCCAAACCACAGCCCCATATTAATCACTGGAAAGAGATATAACTACCCCAGATAAACCCAGCCCAGTCCTGTATATGCACATGGGGACCTTAAGGATTTATAATGTCTGGACAGCAGAAATATTCCTTCTAAAGGCTGTGGTCAGAGTGTTGGCCTGAAAGAACATTGGACTGAGATTCCTCACTGCTGTCTTATCAAACACTCTTAAATATATTGCTAAACCTATTCCCAGTAGTAACCAGTACTCAGAAAAATCCTTTTCCAGTACCCTTGCAAAAACCATCTATGATGCTCACAATTTAAAAGTTGTCTACTAATGTCGAATATGATTTAATAATATTTCTCTGACCCTTCTCATCTGCAGTCAGTAACTCATTAGCTGCAGGTGAAGGGGTTCATGGGTTCCTGGGCTCAGTTCTAACACAATAAGCACTCATATTACATTTTCTTACTTTTTTGTTTGGCATTAATCTAAGTGGCATACATCATCTTTCATTCTAAAGAATGAACATGAACAAAATGCATTCTTAAGAGACATGGATTTACACTGTGGTTTTCATTTTGGAGGTGAACCTCTTATTTTAAGTTTTAGAGCCTTGTGGTTTTTGTTGTTCAAAAGCTGATCAGATGGGAGCATCAGTTAGAAATTGCAAATATAAAGTAATGAAGGGATTTTTACATTGCATTAAATTAAATAATATTGTCATAGTTATAAAAGCCTCTCTAATAAATTATTTATACATATTTTATCCTAAATAGAACTTCACTTTTTGGTATACTTTACCTTAGGAAAGCCAAATTAATTATGATATCATCATGTGTTTAACCACAAGTGAAGTACTTGTTTAATTGGATTTGGTCATTCACTAGTGCAAGAAAACAACGTTTATTCTTTGGGGTTTTTTTGTTTTGGTTTCTCTAGATTGCCTACTAACTTCCTGAACTCTTCAATTCCAGTCTGTAATAAAGCAAAAGTAAATATATATATGTACATATGTATATATTAAAAATTTATTGAGAGACCTAAGCCAAGTATTTTCACAGGGAAACAGGAAATGTTTTTCATAGATTTGGAGCTTGTGCACTCATAGTCACTTGTGTAAATGGACTCCTGGGATATCCTGAATGCAGTTTTCATTATGCAGCTTCATTGTCCTCTTGGGTTTGAGAATTGGTCATCATGGAATCCCAGGACTGTGGTATCTGATGAGAAACTCAGTCTTGCTGCAAAAAGCACAGTCCCTGGAGGAGGACTGCTAAATATCTTACTTACATACTAACCTCATGAGACATTATGGAGGCAATACATCTATAAATATTTTGATTTTAGGTGGTAACAAATATCAGCTTTGCTTATTAAAAGCAACTCTTATGAAAAATTGATATAACTGTGGATCCAGCTTTCCTTTGAAGCAGAGGATTTTCATTCATTTCTTAATCATCTCACCCCCGCCAAAAAAAAAAAAAAAAAAAAAACACAAAAAAGCCCCCCAAACTACCCACACCAACAAGAAAACTTATAATAAAACAAAAATGGGTAAGATTTTTGTAGTTTGTGTTTTCTTTTTCATGGGCAGCTGACACAAGCAAGCTGTTGTACTTCTGTCTGCAATGTACCAAAATCTCCTGTTTTGCAGGAATCAGAACATATGAATGTCTCAGTCAAAGGGGGAAAGGAATGATTTGCAAGAAATAGGTGGCAGCTGTTGCCAGTGACTCTGTGGAAGGTGTTAGGGCAGTATTTGTCCCTAAGCCTCCAGCACAGCCCTTGAGCCTCATGCTGTAGCCACAACAGGGAGATTTTGCTCCAGCAGCTCACTTTTGTTATTCACCCTTTCTGGAGTCTACAGCCTCCTTTGTTTCAAGTGTACCCTAAAGCTTACATCAGGAATCCTCACCCAGAGAGGGCACAGAAATGAGTTGTTTTTTGACATGAGTGTACAGCTTCCTAAAATGAGGGGTTAGATTTGCTTCAGATTAAATTTAAGCATTTGCACCTTAGGCTACCCTGGCTATGTTCTGATGGTGCTTTATGTGTTCCAGTTCTGTTTCTTCAGTTCCTTTTGCTTTTCCTTTGACTTAAACGTGCTATGTGTGTTTACTCAGTTCTTCTCCCCAGGCTTCAGCAGGGAATGCTGAAAGGTTTTCTTCTCTCTCTTGCTAAACCTCAGCTGAATCTATGGAAAGATCTTTATCCTTTCTTCTGGAAGAAGGAAAACACTGATAGGTAGAAGTCTCTTTTCCCTGCTGGAGCATTTCTCATCCAGGTCTTTGGGCTGCACCATTATGGAATCAGCCTTGCAGTGAGAGATGCGGTGTTGGAACAATCAGTCAATGAATATTTCAACTGCTATGTGGTTACTCTAGGAATCTCAGTTCCCCTCCCTAGAAGGAATGTGAATTTGAAATGCAGTGAAGAAGTGTTCAAGAAAATACTGAGAACATATTTTTGTGCTGACTAAGCTCTGGTAACTATGTGTGTGTGTATATATATATATATATATATATATATATATATATATATACACACATATACATATGTGAATGGAATGCTTATTCCTTCATGTACTCCACAGATTTTATTGTTTTGTGGAGTTTGGGTTTTTTATTTTTATTGTGGAATTTGGGTTTTTTGCTTATATTGTGTCAAGCTTCAGCTGCTTGGACAACTCTGTCTATTAATGTTTTTACACTACTATGGACAAGCCTGGTGCTGGATGCTAGCCAATGCTTATCAGTGATCTTAGTGATTATTAAGTTTCCAAAAATCACTTTTCTTTCAAACAGTGGATAAAGCTCATTGTTATTTTATATTTACCATGATCATATGAGCAAGTTGTTTAGCCTTTGCAGTTTGCTAATATTTGCCTTAATGAAATAAGAAAGTACAGCCATTAATTATATCTTGCAATAAATATTTAACTAATATTACTCTAGTCCCTAAAGGACTTTTTCTTCAGAAAATCTGTCTTTTGTGAAGAATGAAGGATTATTGCAACATTTTTTCTCAATTGTGGTCCTATTACATAAGGGTTTTTGAGGCATGAACCTGTCATTCTTTGCTGCATATGCATTAAAACATGCTGTGTGTCATAATGCCTTACTGCGTGACCCAGAACAGCTTATGTTTTTTTTTTTTTAACTAAACTTCTATTCAATTGCAGTTTAAAGTACAGAAGTTTTCTGATATGTTCAGTTTCTAGAAAGATTTTAATATCATTTTTCGTCCCCTTAAAAAATAAAATTAAAAAAAATAAGAAAAGAAAAAACTTTTAAGTGATTCAGCTTTTGTTTTTCCTTTGTGTTTCACCAGTTGATAAGATACAGAGCCAGTGGGATGAAGTGCATGGATACCTCCAAAACCGGAGACAGCAGCTTCAAGAGATGCTGAAGGATTCAACACAGTGGCTGGAAGCTAAACAAGAAGCTGAGCAGGTTCTAGAACAAGCAAAAGCTAAGCTTGAGTCATGGAAAGAAATTTCGTACACGGTGGATGCTTTGAAAAAGCAGAACACAGAACTTAAGGTCACTACTGATTATTAAAATATTTCTGTTTGGGTTAATGAAGTCATTAAAGAAAATGTCCTCTAACTGTCGTCCTCTGACTGTGGACAGTGTACATTGCAAAAAGTCTTCCACAGCAAATTAGAAAGAAATTGACATGCAAAGTCTAAAATATGTTTAGCATATTCCTTGAATATTAAATGGGTCTTAACTTAACAGTCATAACAAATAGCTGGCTGATCTCACAGGAGGAATACCTACCTGTTTAGCACAAGTATTTCACATCTGTTCAGCAGCCTCAGAGCACTGGTACTGCAGTCTGGGAAATTCTGTGGTATTGATATGGCTGTCCATGGCTGTCTGCACTGCTAATGAAGCTGTATAGGTTTTCTAAAAGTACCTGAGAAAGCAGGGAAAAAACCCAGCTATAGCAAACTAAATGGGTATATTTGGAAACCAAATCGTTTTAGATTCGCCACAAGATAATCTCACCAACTTCAAACTTGACTGGGTTATTAACTGAAAAAATAAAACCTGAAATGGCTGCTTTTGTGATTTTAGCACACATGTTGCCACATTATGGTGCTTCAATGTGTTAACTTACATAGCTGAGCTTTACCTCAGGTAGAAAATATTCTGTTGCATCAGTTTTGAAGTTTCTTGTAATAGGAACAGTCATACTTTGGTGACATTTTTCATGAATAAATTTTGAGAACAGCTGTTTAAGATTAATAATATCTCATTTTCTAAATGAGGAAAACCAGGGTTGGAATCCACCAATTGATCAGCCTTTTAAGGTGACTCCTGTCTCTATGGGAAAAGAGTTTCCCACGAATTTTGTGATATATTCTCCTTTCCTGCCCACCAGATTTTTGTAGGTTTTTTTAAAACTCCTACCATTCAAGTTTTGGTTAATGCTTGTGTACTTAGAGCAGCCCTATTTACACAGTTGAATGGTAATGAACTGCTGTGAAGAGTTTTTGGGTTAAGGTCCTCATCAACTGGTTTTGCTGCCAGAGAAAATATATATATAATTTCATGACTGGTTCAGTTATCTCCATCATCAGTTAGTTAGAATTAAATGCAAACTGTGTTGGAGTTTTTGCTTTCTATTTTTTTTCTTTTGCTTGCCTATAAGAAGCATGAAAATGTTCATCAGCCCATTGTGTTAGGGCTGAGCTGAGGTTAAGTTATCTCATTTAAGATTGTACCAAAAGGGTCATTGCTTGGGAAGGGTAGATTATGGTAAACAAGGGCAATCACTCACTAATGTATTGGAAAGAGTTATAGATCATGTGTAGTACTGTCACTCAGCTCAGAGAGCTCCCATTTGTCACTGTCTCCCTGCAGAGATACAGTTCTGGCTTCTGCCCAGTATTTGTTAAAAAAAAAAGGAAAAACTTCAACAGAGTCAATGTCTCAGCTCTGCAAAGACTCAATTAACAAAAAACCAGTTCTGTGCAAACACTCTCTTATGTCATAGTACTGGAGTGTCTTATGTTTCAAAAACAAATTACTAAACTAGGAAAGTAATTGAAAATGTTGCTTTAGAAATGGATTTTTTGTCCACTTTTTTTACAAGAGTATATGAAGTTGAGATGAGGTCCATTGATGGGTGTATGCTTTATGAAAAAAACTATGGGGTTGTTTGGGTCAACATTAGCCACAGAGAGAAATAAGAACATGCCATTCTTCTCCTTCTGCCACCTCCAGAGTTCTAGAGAAAGAATAATAGTGTACTTATTTACAGAAGGCATGTTTAAACAGAGAATGGGAATGGAGACCTGCTGTTTCTTTTGCCTCTTACCTCACTTGGGCTGTCTGTATCCTCAACCATTCCCACAAGTTTGCATCCAATGAGATGGATGTGTTGTGTCAAGTTACAGACATTAACCTAGAATTTTAATTTCAGTGACTCAGCTAGCCCATCTGAATTTGTGCCCTCCTGATGATATGACCATCAACAAGCTCTACTCTTCCAGGGTTGTTAACTTTCATTTATTTGGTTTTGCCTAGCCTTTCTTCCTCAAGTCTAGAAGAAATTCATTGTCTTAGAGACTGGGGAGTAGGAGGGTTGGGGATTTTTTCCCCTCTCCTTTTTGTGTTTTTTTCTGTGCCAGCCTTCCTAGAGGAATTATCTTTGTCTACCAGTAATTCCTATTGTGTTCAAATCCTTCATCAAATTTTCTCAGATGTGACAGCATCAGCTGTTATGTTCATGCTTGAAATAAGGGGTCATGAAGTCTAAGGAAAATGGAAATTTTTTTTTGAGTTAGCAGCTTTATGTTTCTGCTGTATAGTATTATCTAAACTGAAGGACCTAGAAATACATCAAGTTCTCAAAATAAATGCTTTCCAGGCTTCTGTGCCAAACACATATATTTTGATTTTGTCCCCTGAAGATGTAGAGTAAGTAGGCTGTATTTTGGCTTGCTGTTACACTGATGAAGAGGAAGCTGTAATTTCTATTCATTTGCTTTGAGGGAAAGAGAGAGGTCAGTGCAAGACTTAATAAATTCTTCAGACATTAATTTTGTCAGCTTTGTATCTCAACACAGCTTGGTGTGAGAAAGTAGTCACGAAGCTTTCTTCTGATTTGCTTGTTAAACATTGTAGGTCTGCCTAAAGACAGATGAATCAATGTGTAATTTTCCTTCTGCTTTGGGGGAACTTTAGTCAGTGCTTGTGCTGATGCATTTTTGTTAGGGCATCCTAATACAAGAGTACATGGTAAACTCAGTAATAACAGTCTTGATTATTTGGGTTTTTTTACAATGCCAGCATAAAACAAAAATCTATAACTTGCTTGTATTTGGCCATTAATGTTTTTAAAATAATTTAAAAATTTTATTTCTGTCATTTAAAAGATAAAAGAAACTAGGTACTATAGCTAATAATTAAAAATATTATTAATTTGAATCAGAAATTAATTCAGATTAATTTGCTGAGAATTGCAGTATTTTTTTCATTCTGTTTTTTATTTATTTGGTATTGGAGTATTAAACTGGTGTTAGGTGTGGGGAACCAGAATATGGCAATGTGGCCAATGAGAGTCTTTACCCACTAAGCCCTGTTTTTTATTATTCTTTAAGTGATGACTGCAGATGGTTAACTCAGCAGGCTGAAGGTTATAGGAGTATAAATAGTACACAATCACACCTCAAATCCTTGCATCAGCACGTCATCAGAACACAAGCTAGTGTAAAACTAGCCTTTTCTTAATAGGATCCTGAGCTTCTGTTTGAAAGAGGAAAAAAAAAATTAAAAAAAAAACAAACCAAACTCTAAACCAAACTAAACTGCTAGAATTGCTTGCTCACTCCGTGGCTCCTTGCTTTGGTAGGAGCTAAAGAGGCATCTTCTCTTCCTCTGTGCAGCTTCATCTGGGATAGGCAAAGGGAAGAGGAGGAAGAATGGAGACAACATTTCATTCCTTTCCTTCACTGACCTTCATTTTTTCATCTAAACAGGAAATTCAATGGCAGCCTGATTGCATCCCCTGCCCTGTTGGGAGTCAAAAGGCCAGGCAGCCTTGCAGAGCCCAGGGTGTGAACTTCACGTCCTGAATTTGTGGATAAGGCTGAGGCTGCCTTTTCTTGCCTTTGTCAGATTCTTGCAGGGCAGTGACTTATTAGGGACTCTTTTGCCATTCCCTCTGTACCAAGATGAAGAAAAAAATCAGCATTTTGTAGGTTTTTATTATTCCAGGGCTGACAGTGTACTGCTTTGATTTCAGTAAAACAATTAACAATTTAGTTCATGTTATTGGCTGTTTTGCAAGCACTGAATTAGAATTCCTTGATTTAAAAAAAATAAATTATTTAAGTATAAAAATAAAACATGCTACAGATATATAGAAAAAGGACAAAAAGACAGCCTGATTTTCCATATTTGTGATATATACACAGAACTGGATGATGTTGTACATTCATATTGCTATATTTGAACTACTGTGCATCATTAATTTTGTTCCACTGGGCAATCCTGGGATAAAATAAAGTGCAGCTCTGACTTCATTACTTGTTTTTAATCAAGAGTTCTTAATTGCACAGGCTTTATTCCTAATAACATCAACTAGTGTCTTCTAATTAAAAATTACAAATAAATTTATACCTAAGTAACATGATAAATGCACAACCTTAATTCTTTAAGCCTTTTAATAAACTCAGTAAATTCCAGTGATAACACAGGCAAAACAGAGAGAATGCTTTGAAAAGAATGTCAGAAAGAAATTAGGGTAATGTAGCAACTTCCTTTAAAGAAGGAAAAAACAAACATGGTCTTAAGAAGCTGAAAGGTAAATGAGGCCTAAATACGAAAAAGGGAAAAGAGGAAGGAAAAGATTGTAATTGTGAAGGATACATTGTAGTCTTGCAGAAGGGCAGTGAATGGGCCTCTGTTGGGATAGACAGGTAAAATTTGTGCCCCAGCACTTTGCTCTCAGTGTCTGCACACACAGCAAAGTTGAAGCATGCACTCCTCAAAGCTGTTGAAATTCATATCAATTTCCAGTAAAACAGAAAATACAAATGGTTTCCATCACCAAAAGCTCTTTATATTCATAATTTCTTTCCTGAGTGACGACCTAATGTTGTAGTGTCAGGAAGTTAATGGATTCATGTTAAAGTTAATGGTGAGAACAACACTTTTGGAAATAACCTTGTAATGGATCTTCCCATTTATTTTATTATAAAACAGGGCTTCAAATCTTTTAGAGGGTCAATTTTATTCACATGGATCTGGGCAAAAATATCTTATTTGCAAAGTAAAGTTTACAGACCATTAATTTACAATGAGGACAAAATATTATGGTAACTTTTCTATATAAAGCAATGAACAGTCAGTCTGCTGTGATTCTTTAGCTGACTAAAAATTACCTGCCTGCCTGTGTAATTTTAAACAAAGAGAAAGGTAGGGTAAAATAAAGATAGACCTAAATGTAGAATAAATACTTGCTATATAAGATCTACAAAACTGAAATTATAATTACTGTAGAATTCATTTACTATTTAGTATTTTGTATATATATTACTATATTTATGTAAATAGGAACATTTATATATTTATTTTATATCATTCTGGCAGGAAAGGAGTTCAACTGGCAGACTGTTTCCAAAACAACCACCTGCCTGTATCTTCCTCAAAGAAATAGTAATGTTTTCCACAAAATTATAATCTCTCCTGTCCAGATCTCCTCACTTAGCATAGAGAATTTTTTTTTAATTGTCTAGACAGCTTCATTTTAGGTGAGCTTAACCATAACACGTTCAGGTGGTTTTCAGGATTAGGGTTTGGTGGCTCCTCCTAATGTTTGATTGGTAGAAAGATAATCCCTTGTTCAAGCCAGATAAACAAGGTGCTGTCAGTTCCTGGTGCTGTCTGGTGCTCAGGAACAGTGATCTGCCCTCTCATGAAGGAATAGCACAGGAAATGGGAGAAGTACCTGTTTTCAGCTTTAAATTATGGAGATAATCTAGAGGTGATGAAGTAGCCTTTTAACAGATAAGAGTTTGGGGGGGAAATTCAAACCCCCCCAAAAAGCCCTTTTGGACTCTATTAAAAGAGCAAGTGCATTTTAGTCTGAGTCTTAATCAAAATCAGTTTACAGACCTTCTGAGATTAAAATCTAAATGCATGAATTATTTAACATTTATTTATTTTTACTTAGTATTTAGACTCTTTCACTAGGGATTGCATGTAAGTTCAGCTCTATGTGAAGAATTCCTTATCTGAGTCAAAACAAGATTTCAAAAGGAATACTGCTTTGGGAGAATGAAGGGAAAAAAGCTATTTTTTCTTTCACAGGCATTGCCCAATTTGTATATTAAAGCAAAACAATAAAGACAGTTGAGTCTTACTGTTTGTCGTCAACAGCTTCAAATGTTTATATGCAACTTTCTCTTTACAAATACAAACTGGTTTTCAACTTGTATTGTCCATTTTATTGGCTAGTTGGAGTCTGTTTAGTACAAAAGTACAAGTAGACAATCAATTAACTTTGCTCTTTCATTTTGTTGTTGCATATTATGGACTAAATATGCAGCTTCAGTGCATTTATATGGAAATTTGCTCTGAGAGAAAGACTAACAGGAAAGATGCATGGGAGCTGGCTGCTGGCTGAGTGACTGCTCTGGATTTCCTGGCTTGCTTCTGCAGTGAGGCAGCTGGCCTAGGTGGAGAGGAGAAAGGAGAGGAAAAAGTGGAGAGGGAAGGGGGAAAAAAAAGATGACCAAAATTTTAAAAGCTTTTTAATATTAACCATAAATTAACATTACAAAGAGATGGATAGGTTTACCAGTAGTATTTTGCTGTATCGCAGATTTAGTGCTGTTCCAGTAGATGGCACTAATTACATAAACAATTTGCTAAAATGAACTAAATTAAAAAAAAAAAATAACCTGAAAGCACAGGTATTAATTGTCCAAATCAATTTTATTTCACAGTACAAAAAAGAAAATTAGTCAGAACATATTATTTCACTTTATTCTCTATCTCAGTACTCAATGTCACAAATAATCATAGTTTCCATAATGCATAATAATGCATCCATCTATTTGTGTCTCAGAAAAGAATAGTCAACATTATAATCAGTGGTTATCAATTTGAGCTGTCATATCTTTTCTAGCATTTAGAAGTTGGTTGTTTGGTCCTCTCAGAGTTTAGAAGTAGTCCTGTGATCTTCTGGCTAAAAGAATTTAAAACATATAGAAAAACTGATTTTTATTGCCAGTAAATCTGCGGAAGTGTTTGGGTTTTTTCCTTTCTTCCTTCTTTATATACAGATGGTACAAGTTATTCAGCTCCTTTTTTAATAACCATACAATGTATGTGATCATTTTATGTTGCTCTGCGGATTATTCTTTCCTTATTTCTCTCTTTCTCTTTTTACTTCAGCAATTTTCAAAAGAACTACGGCAGTGGCAAATAAATGTAGATGTGGCAAACGACCTGGCTCTGAAGCTGCTCCGTGATTATTCAGAAGATGACACCAGAAAGGTTCAGCTGATGACAGACAGTGTTAATGCATCCTGGGCTGCCATTAATAAAAGGTAGGATACAAACTCTGCTGTTAGATTTGTTGTTACTCTCCATTGACATTCATTGTCCAGCTGTGGTTGGAGATTACAGAAGATGCAACTTTTGTAAATGATGTGGCTGTAGTGGTCACGACTCTTCTGTAGAATTTTTTGGAACTATGTCCTTAGAACGGCATTTAATTATAGCACATAAAATTTAGCTTCCTGCCAATTTTCCTCTGCTATAAAGAGTTGCCAACTAACTTAAGCTGATAGATTGTATTTCAAGTATTTAACATTGTTTCATATATCTGTACTATCTCCACATCACAGCCACAATAGTGATTCTGACTCATAAACCAAATCAGAAAATGACAGACATAGCCTATTGAAGCAGGTTCAAAGTAGAAATGTTATCATGTATCTTTGAAGCAAATCTCTAGTCAAGAAAATTTTTATTAAATCCTTGACCACGTTCTTGATTACATTTCACAGCCTTTCAGTGTTTGGTTTAGATGCCAATTCCTTACTAAAAGCAATTTTTTTGCAACATGCCAACAAATTGTGAATTATTCAATATGCAATCTACAAGATTATAACATATTGCAGTAAAAATTGGTTTCTTCATATTAGTGAAAGAGTTTTAAATCATTGCACATAAGATTAGATATGTAAAAATTATATGAAAGTTGTTTTAATCAGTATCTTGGATTAAGCTTTATAGTTTATAACTGAAACCATAAATGAATTAGATCTTAACATGTTTTTAATTAAAGTCTATGAACAAGGCCAGAGAAGTCAGTTTAGCTAAATATGCAGTGAATTCAGTAGATCTTCTTGCATAATGGTGTTTACCTAAATCACTGATGACTGCAGAAGTTTAATGTCACTTTTTGTTTAGTTTGTCATTCGTATGAATGAGCCACTTTAGCAGCATTTTTCTGAAGCAAACTCAAAATGGATTTAAGACACTGTTTAAAATGAGAGAAGGGATAATCTTGTTGTCCACTAAAAGAAAGGCACACAATAATTTGAAAGCTTTTAATTTACAACTAAACTGAGATTTTAGTATAAACATTCCGGTTTTGCCTGCTTGCATTTCTCCTGTTACAGTAATAGATATTTTGGATTTATTAGAAGTAGCTGTATTTTTACAAAATGATGTTTTGCTCACTGTGGCTTGAGAAGAAGCTTGGGGAGTTCAGAGTCTATTGCTGGATGAGAAAGGCTGGGAGTCTAATGCTCAAAACCATCCCTCAGGAGTGGATAAAATCAGCAGCTCAGAAGGACTTCATGTGAGACCCAAAGTGCTTTTGTCAGTATTTAGAACCACAGGCCTCTCTTGGTGAGAAGTCCAGGATATGTTTGTAGCTGCTGTGGCTGCTCTGTATTAATTGTAGCTAAGGGGGCATTTCCAAACCTGTTAAAGCCTCAGGCACAGGCCCAGGTGTTTCTAATGTTGTCCAAAGGTGAGAATTACCATTCTTGCATGGACTCTGCCAAGTACCAGGCTGAGAGAGAGTACAAATTCTTCAAAACACATTCCTTGCAAGCTTCTATAAAATGCATAGATGTGTTAGATGAATTATTATAGTAATTATTTTGTGTCTAAGAAGAGACCTGCTTAGGTGACTGAGTTGACATTTCCCTTTAAGATGTACAAAAGTATAGGAATAAATATGAGCTGTGAAATGAGTATCCTGGTTTTTGATTGTGTGACATTATTAGATTTCTAATATATTTTTAATTTAGTGTTTTGTATGCAACTTTTGTAATACTTCTCATGATTTGGGAACTTGAAACAAAGCATTGTTGCAAACAGTAGTTGATAAGCTTCTCTGAGGGCTGGATCACATTTTTGTTGGCCTTTTGTGAGACATGGATAAATATGGACATACTAACTCTTCAAGTCGCCATAAGACTTGGAAGATTTTCTGTGCATGTAGATTTTGTAGGTTTCTTTGAAGCATTAGTCAGGCATTTTGCTCATGCAGCAGCTCCTGAGTGAGGTCTTGAAAAAATGTCCTAGATTTCTGGAGGGATTTAAAGCCATGTAGATGTGAGACTTAGGGACATGGTTTAGAGGTGGATTTGGAAGCATTGGGTTAAGGGTTTGACTTGATGATCTCAGAGGTCTTTTCCAACCTAAATGATTCTGTGATTCCTTTGCTGAAGAGCCTTGTGGAAGGAGATAATGAAGTCCATGGGCCTTTGGATGACTTAAATACCAATTTGTTCTGGTTTCTTTGGGAGGTTACACTTTTGATTTTTTTGCCCTCCTTCTATGCTTCAACTCTTCAGCTTTCAGGTTATGGCATAGAGAAATAAAAAAAGTGAATGGTTTTATGGTTTTGGGGATCTTTTGAACTGTAAGAGAATATTTACTCAGTAGAAAGAATACATGAATTATTTTGTCATAGTCTTCAAGAAAGGCTAGTCTCCACTCAGATATGTATGCAATTATTTCAGATATATCCGTGTGTTATTTTCATCTAGACACTGAATAGTACTCTGATAACTTGGTCACCTCACAGTGACAGTAGAAGTAGATTCCAAATTATATTCTTGACCATTTCTGCAGTATTTTACAAGTAGTTTTATCGCTTTTTATGCAAATCTTAAGTTCCAAGAAGAAATATTCAGCTGAAAATTTTGCTTTCGCTCTCTATATTGCTAAGTTAAATGGCCTAATTTTTTTTGTGAATATTTTCTTTTAAACATTTAAAGAAAGAGTTGCTTACATTGTTTTGAGCTGGTTTTCCTTAATCCTGTCATTATATCAGAATCATGTGTCAGTGTAAAAATGTAAAACCTGCTTTTCCATGAACCAGTTTACTAAGGTAACAGGCAGGCAAGCAGTGGTAAAATTCCACTTTGCCTTTTGGTAATAGTTGCCAAAGCAAGTACTTCAGTCATTAAGGCAACATCTGTTAGCCTGTGTTTTGTTTTGCTTAAGTAGGTTTGCAGCTGATTGCTGTGTGTTTACCCTTTGCCTTAGTGTTGTGTTTTAGAACATTGAACTATAACCAGTACCTCTCTAAGCCCTTTGGGAGACAAGCTGGTGAATGCTTGATGGTTGTTTCATTTTTTTTTTTGCTTGTCACTTTTTAATTTTTACTTTTGTTGTTGATACTGCAAAATACACTAAAAAGCACATGAACTGATCACTTGGGTGAAAGCCAGACTGACTTGCAGACAGGTCTCTTCTTCTTTAGAAGCACAGGCTTTCCAAGAAATAGCCATATTATTTAGGCTGAAGCCATTAAAGAGAAAGTATCTTTATTGCTTGCATTAACAAAAATAAATCTAACAGATGAACTGAAATCATCTCAAGAGGGGGAAAAGGGCAATGACAGAAGCAACCATTAGAAATTTGCTATATAAAAAAAATATTTGTTATGGTGTTATGTTGCTTCCTCCTTTTGTGGGCACACACATTTTATGTGAATTACCATACGAAAATATCAACAGCTGCTTGCATTTTCCTTTCCTGTGAATCCACTAAATGTGCTAAATATCAAGCTAAAAATGGACCTAGACCTTTCTTAAATGGAGTGTCTATTATGAAAATAATTGTATAACATACTCTGAGAATTGTTTAGGATTCCAAACCACCACTGTGTGTTATGGTTTAGGCCTGGCAAAGCCAAGGCCCCCATAAATATACCTTTTACCTGATATCTGCTGTGAGATGTGGCCAGGAAATAAGCAAAGCAGGCTCCAACTTAAACATAAAGAGAAGTTTATTAACTAAACTACACACACAATTACTAAACTACACACACAATTACTAACCTACACACACACAGGGAAAAAAACAAGGAGAATGAAAACTACACAGAAACACTTCCTTATCCTCCTCCCACCAAATTCCCAAACACATTTACATTTCCCAAAAAATTATCCACACTCGGTCTGGCACCACCCTTTGGAAAAAAAAAATCAAATCTTCAGCTCATAAGGGATAGACGGAGTCCTTCCTTGTGCCACGGACTTCTTGTCACAATCAGCAATCCGCCCGGTATCTTGCTATCTCGTGACATCTCCTTTCCATGCCGAGGTGCTCTCACCACCTGGCATGGGATGGGGCAGGGGCCTGCCTTCAGGGCCTTTTAAGAATGCCTCGTCTCGTTCCAAGCAGAGTACAGTCACAATCCTGGGACCTCTGTCCCCCCCATGTCTTCTATACCCCCTGGGGCCGAGGGGTCTCAAAACCAAACTCTCTTGACGCCGAGCCTCCGCTTCCCCCTGCAATACAGCCTCTGCCTCACCAGGAAACAGTCCATGGAAATACAACAAAAAAGAGTCCAGCAAAAACTGCCACTCCATCTTCCTCCATTCCTTCAACATCTCTCTTCTCCCTTTGCCAGACCCTCCTTACTGGCCTGATTTTCTTCCTTCATCTTCCACTCCTGTCCCTTTCCCAGGAAAGGCAATGTTCTGCGAAGCCTTCATTCCCCAAAGGGTTAAAAGGTCTCCCAGGCGGCCGGACTGCCCGCTGCCCCCCCCCTTTCTCCTCCCAGCCGTGCTGCCTGCCGGCACATGATATCAAGTTTCAAGATATACAGTTCGAGCACGGGCTGCATTCTCTGGGGGGGGGGGGATAAACAGGTCGCTCAAGGGTCTGCCACCCTTCCTCCGAACCCGGGCCTACCGTAGATGGGCCACGTGGCTCTCCCCTCCCCCAGCCCAGCCAGAAACTGGGCCGGGGGAGAGACTTCTTCACGCCGGAAATCCCAAGAGAGCTCCGAAGGCCAAGAGCCCTGCTTTTAACCCCTTGGGTTCGTAGTCTCAAGAGGCGGATCCAAATGTCCCACTGGTCAAACTAAGTGCCCATCTTAAATTCCAATTACCCATTGGTAATCACAGCAAAACAAAATATCCCAGATGTCCCATTTCCGGTCAAACCACGACACTGTGTTATAGACATCTTCAAATATTCACATCACCCACCAGTTCCTGTGGCCAAGCTTAATGGAGCTCAGGCCACACAGCAAATGTTGGGAGCTTTCACAGCTCAAGATGCTTTTTTG